AGGCTTGTGTGTGAGCGCATATTAATTTGTACTTACGCCTAGTAGAGGAAGTTGACAGATATTCAGCTAAAGCGTTATGAAGAGGACGAGTTGGATTGGTCATTACTATTGATGTCGGATTGTACAATTACTGATGTTAAGTACTGAGAGCTTCGCAGATAAGTACTGAGAGCTTCGCAGATATAACCAGGTGCGGCCGCACTTTAACTCGTCTCTCGCTTTGCCCTCTGTGGCGACTCCAATTCTCCCCACACAATATTGTGCTTGCGCTCGTTCGAACCAGTTCGACGAGCTCTACTCAGTGCTTTCCATCTCCCGGATCTAACCTGTGTGGATTACACTATTGCTCCAGTTCCCAGTTTTCGGCATAATCTTTGCCGTATTCCACTTGTGTACCTACATCAAACCGGTCTTTCGGAAAAGATTTTGGTCTCATTCGGAAGAAGAAGTTGTGGACTCCCCAACTACGCGGCAACCATCCCTGCAAGTTGCAGCATAACAAACTTACAGCCGTTTTGCTCCGCTCGTCAACTGAGCAGCTTTAGGGACGCTTATCAGCGCTCCACCTGCATCGTCGCTTAAGGCAGACCGATTAACACACGCTGCCGCTTTGTGTGGGTGTGTGTGTACCACTGCAAGTCGATTGATTGCTGAATCCGACAGTCTGCGCGTTACGATTTCCATCTGCCTCCTGCACTGACCTTGGTGCGGTTGAACAACCCTCACTTCGTGTGCGCGTTCTCACCTGTTCCTGCGTCACCCCTAGCGCAAAGTACACTTACCAAGGTGAGCGCTTAGATCGGCTTTGCTGTAAACAACAGGAGGACTAGTAGCATTTCCATTACCTCCCTTCTCCCCGCTCTCGCTTTTCCGTCGGGACACGCACCCCCACTCCTTTTCCCTTTTCTAACGCTCCTTTATTCAATGTGCAGCTCCCCGCGTTTCCCCCATCGTTCACCCCTCGTTTTTCCTTTGTTCTGATTCCAAATTTCTAACAAAAAAGAAAAAGAAAAAAAATTCAACTGTCACGCTTCAAAAAGAAACAAAGAAACAAATCATAAAAGAAAAGCAAACAAAAAAGCGAAAAAATATCTACAGTCGGTGCGAGACGGATTCCCTTTTCTTTATTTTGTTTTATCTCTTTATACTCTTCTCTCAATCTTCCTACCGCTCTGTTCTCATTTTCGCTGCCCTCCTCTTTCGCTCGAATCTCCCTTCGTCGGATCTCCCTTTTTTTCCGAAAAACTGCTACTCGCGACGTCTTTCCTCTCCGCTATCCACCCTTCAAGGTTTTCCCCCCATCCCACTTCTCGCTGTTCTACTTCGCGACTGAACCCCCGTCTCAGAACCCTCTACCTCATCCCCATCAATACCCACATTTCTTCCACGACTATCTTTACCTAATCCTTTCCATAGCCCCCAGCCCACAACATTCATGCGTCTCCGTCTCCAAACAAATAAACCAAAAAAAAAAAAAAAACAAAAAAATGCAACACACAGCGAAAAAAGACGAAACAAAAAAAGAAAAAGACAACGACCGCCACTGTGACGAAAAAAAAAAACCAACAAAATACACAGCTAAACATAGAAAAAAAAAAAAAAACAACCAAAACACAGTTTCATAAGATCCTTTCAAACGCTCTCGCGTCACGTCTTTTCCCCCTCGGGCCGCGGTCATCCTCGTTTACCTTTCACCTTTCATTCATTCTCCTCATACCCCCCTCGCCCCCTCCCACGCGCACGCTATCTCCCTTCACCTTCCCACTTTTCCTCTTCTCTCCATTCTTTCGGTCTCCTTTCAAACCCCTCCTTCTTCATTTTTCTTCTTTTCGATTTCCTTCCTCGCCCTGCCTATTTTCATCACGTCCACCGCAATTTTTTTCAAAACCCAAATCACGAAAGTCCCCCTACCCCGCCTCAGCACAAACCCACCTCCCACCTCGCCCCCCGCCCCCCCCCCCGCCCCCCTTCGCCACGCCACACCCCCCCCCCCCCAGACCCACCCCCTCCCCCAACCACCCCTCAACCCCCCCCCCCCCCCCCTCCCGCCCTCCAGCCCTTCCCCAACCCCCAACCCCAACCCCCCCGAGCCAGCCTCCCCCTCCCCTCCCCCACCCACCCACCCTCGCCTCCCACTCCCCGCCTACCCCCCCACACTGGCCCAACCCCTATCTGCCTCCCGCTCCCACCCCCCCCCCCCCTCCCCCCACACCCCCCCCTCCCCCCCCCCCCCCCCCCCCCCTCCCCCCCCCCCCCCCCCACCCCCCCCCCCCCCCCCCCCCCCCCCCCCCCCCCCCACCCCCCCCCCCCCCCCCCCCCCCCCCCCCCACCCCCCCCCCCCCCCCCCCCCCCCCACCCCCCCCCCCCCCCCCCCCCACCCCCCCCCCCCCCCCCCACCCCCCCCCCCCCCCCCCCCCCCCCCCCCCCCCCCCCCCCCCCCCCCCCCCCCCCCCCCCCCCCCCCCCCCCCCCCCCCCCACCCCCCCCCCCCCCCCCCCCCCCCCCCCCCCCCCCCCCCCCCCCCCCCCCCCCCCCCCCCCCCCCCCCCCCCCCCCCCCCCCCCCCCAACCCCCCCCCCCCCCCCCCCCCCCCCCCCCCCCCCCCCCCCCCCCCCCCCCCCCCCCCCCCCCCCCCCCCCCCCCCCCCCCCCCCCCCCCCCCCCCCCCCCCCCCCCCCCCCCCCACCCCCCCCCCCCCCCCCCCCCCCCCCCCCCCCCCCCCCCCCCCCCCCCCCCCCCCCCCCCCCCCCCCCCCCCCCCCCCCCCCCCCCCCCCCCCCCCCCCCCCCCCCCCCCCCCCCCCCCCCCCCCCCCCCCCCCCCCCCCCCCCCCCCCCCCCCCCCCCCCCCCCCCCCCCCCCCCCCCCCCCCCCCCCCCCCCCCCCCCCCCCCCCCCCCCCCCCCCCCCCCCCCCCCCCCCCCCCCCCCCCCCCCCCCCCCCCCCCCCCCCCCCCCCCCCCCCCCCCCCCCCCCCCCCCCCCCCCCCCCCCCCCCCCCCCCCCCCCCCCCCCCCCCCCCCCCCCCCCCCCCCCCCCCCCCCCCCCCCCCCCCCCCCCCCCCCCCCCCCCCCCCCCCCCCCCCCCCCCCCCCCCCCCCCCCCCCCCCCCCCTCACCCCCACCCCCACCCCCACACGCCCCCCCCCCACAACCACCCACCTCCCACCCTCCCCCACCACACCTACTCCCCTCCCCTTTTCCACCCCCCCCTACCCCCCACCACAACCCACAGACCCACCATCTGTTCCCCATGCCCGTCTGGCCCACCCCCCACAACCTGCCCTCACCCACCACTACTAAATCACCCAATCGCCCGTCCTCCACCGCCCCCACCCCCCCATCGACGCCCTCCCACTCACCCCCTGACAACCCCCACCCCCCACCGCCAACACCCCGAATTTCCCTCCCCCCACCCACCCCTAATACCAACCCCACCCCCGTACCCCACCCACTTCAACGCAACACCTACACCACCAACCCCCCTACCAACAACCAACATCCCCCATCATGCTCCCTGTCCCGTCCCCGCACTCCCCCGGCTTCCGGCCCCTACAGACCTCACCCCATTAACCCCACACCCCACTACCGCAACCCCAACCACCCTCCCCCCCCCCCCACTCCCCCCCCCGCCCCCCGCACCCCCCCCCTACCCCTCCAGCCCCCCCCCCAGACCCCACCCCCCCCCCCCCCCACACCTCACTCAACCCCCCACTCCCACTCAAAATCCAGACACCAACCACCGCCCACCACCCCCACACAACCACCAACACCCCCCCACCTAACCCAACCAACCCCCCCCCCCCAATCCCCCCCCACCCCCCCCCCCACCACGCCCCACCCCCCCCCCCACACTCACCTCACCTCCCCAACGCAATACCCCCCCCCACCACCACATCCCCCCTCATCCCCCCCCACCGACCCCCTGTCTCTGTGTCACCCCCACCCATCCCCCCCGCTCCATCACCCTACGCCCACCTCCCAACCCCCCCCACTCCTGGCCCCCCCCCCCCCCACCCTAACAACCTCACAACCACAACCCAAAAAAACCACCACCTCAACCCGATTGCTCCCCCCCCCGCCCGCTCCGCACCTCCACCATCTACCAACCAAAATACCCTTACTCCTCCCCCACCCCCACCCCACCTCACCTCGCGCCCCTTATCCCCACGACCCACCAACGAACACCCCACCACCCCCAACCACCCCTCCTCCCCCCCCCATCCCCCCCGCCCCCACCCCCCCCGAACTACCCCCCCCCCCACGCCACCCGCCCCCCCTCCACCTACCCCACCCACCCCCATCCCCCCCAAACCCCCACCCTACCTCCCCCCCCCCCCCCACCCCCCTCCCCTTACCCCCCCCCCCCCCATCACTCCTCCCCCCTGTCTTCCCACCCACCACCCCCACTCCAACGCCCGACTCCACCCAACCTGCCCACCCCTAACCCGCCACCCGTTCCACCCCTCCCACACCCCCCCAACCCCCCCCACCCCCAACACTCCCCACACTCCCTCCATCCCCCCACCCCGCACACCATTCACCCACCCTCCCTCATCCACCCTCCCACACCCCCACCCCAACCCATCTCCCCCCCCGCACCACCCGCCCCAAACCCCACCCCCCGACGCACCCCCCAACTCCATCCCATAACTCCTACCCTAAACCGACCCCCCACCCGCTCTCCCCCTCCTCCCCCGCCCCCCCCCCAACGCACCCCGCGAACACTCCTCTCCTCACCCCCCAACCCCCCCACCCCTTCGAACTCTACTCACGCCCCCCCCACCACGCCCCCCCCCTCCTCACCCCACCCCACCCCACCCACCACCCCCTACCCCCCCAACCCCTCCCCCCCCCCCCCCCCCCAACCAGCACCCACCTCCCCCACCCCTCCCCCCACATACCATAACACAAACTCCCCCCACACCCCTCCCCACCTCCACTCACCCGCTCGCTACCCTCCCCCCCCCCACCCCACCCCCATCAACGGCCAACTCCCTCACCCCAGCCCGCCCCCGCCCCCCCCCACCCAACTCCCGCCCCCCCCCTCCCCCACACCCTCCCGCACTACTCCACTCCCCCACACATCCCTACCCCCCCCACCCCCGGCCGCCCCCCACCCACACCCATCCCCCCACCCCCCGTCCGCCCATCACATCCCCTCCCGACCAGCACCCCCCCCTCTCCCCCACACCCCCCCAACCCCCATTTCCCCCCCCCCCAACCTCCCGCCCCCCCCCCTTCTCCCCAAAACCACCGTAACACCCCCACCAACCGACCACCCCCCTGCCCTCCCCTACCACCCCCTCCACCCCCATCTCCCACCCTCCCCCCCTCCACCCGATACACCCCCCCCCCCCGCCTCCCTTACACCTCTGCCATACCGCCCCCGTACCAATCTGAAAACCCCCCAACCCACCCAGCCCCTACCCCCCCCCTCGCCCCCGCCCCCACACCGACAAACTCCTCCCCCATCCACCCCCCTACCCCCCACCAACCCCACCCCCACCCTCCCCCCCGCAACCCACCACCCCCCCCCCCGCACCCCCCCAGCGCTCATTCAAACACACCCACTTCCCCCCCTCAAACCCCACCTACCCCACCATCCCACCATGCCCCCCTATCCCCAACTCCCCCACTCCCCCCCCCCCACCTTCCACCCCCCCGGCCCCCAACCCCTACCCTCCCCCCCACCTTTCCCCCTAACCACCCACCCCCCCACCCCGGTCCCTCCCAACACCCTTCCAGCACGCCCTCCCCCCTCCCCCCCCCCAACCACCCTCCCCTCCTCATACACCGTCTCCCCAAACCCCTCCCCCCTCAACCCGTAACAAACCCCCCAACACCAGACACCAACCCACCGCTCCTCCACCATCCCCCCCTCCGACGCCCCCCCCAAGCCCGCCCTCCCCCCCTCAAACCCGACCTACACCCCCCCCCCCCCGCCCAACCCCCCCCGACTCACCACCCTGCCCACCCCCAATACCACCCCCACTCCCCCCTCCCTCTTCCCCAACACCCCCTCCCCTTAGCCCCCCCCCCCATAGCTCCCCCCCACTTGCCCTCCCCCCGCCATCCCCAACACCGCCCCACCGACGAGAAAACTACCCCCCCCCCCCCCCCCCCCCCCCCCCCCCCCCCCCCCCCCCCCCCCCCCCCCCCCCCCCCCCCCCCCCCCCCCCCCCCCCCCCCCCCCCCCCCCCCCCCCCCCCCCCCCCCCCCCCCCCCCCCCCCCCCCCCCCCCCCCCCCCCCCACCCCCCCCCCCCCCCCCCCCCCCCCCCCCCCACCCCCCCCCCCCCCCCCCCCCCCCCCCCCCCCCCCCCCCCCCCCCCCCCCCCCCCCCCCCCCCCCCCCCCCCCCCCCCCCCCCCCCCCCCCCCCCCCCCCCCCACCCCCCCCCCCCCCCCCCCCCCCCCCCCCCCCACCCCCCCCCCCCCCCCCCCCCCCCCCCCCCCCCCCCCCCCCCCCCCCCCCCCCCCCCCCCCCCCCCCCCCCCCCCCCCCCCCCCCCCCCACCCCCCCCCCCCCCCCCCCCCCCCCCCCCCCCCCCCCCCCCCCCCCCCCCCCCCCCCCCACCCCCCCCCCCCCCCCCCCCCCCCCCCCCCCCCCCCCCCCCCCCCCCACCCCCCCCCCCCCCCCCCCCCCCCCCCCCCCCCCCCCCCCCCCCCCCCCCCCCCCCCCCCCCCCCCCCCCCCACCCCCCCCCCCCCCCCCCCCCCCCCCCCCCCCCCCCCCCCCCACCCCCCCCCCCCCCCCCCCCCCCCCCCCCCCCCCCCCCCCCCCCCCCCCCCCCCCCCCCCCCCCCCCCCCACCCCCCCCCCCCCCCCCCCCCCCCCCCCCCCCCCCCCCCCACCCCCCCCCCCCCCCCCCCCCCCCCCCCCCCCCCCCCCCCCCCCCCCCCCCCCCCCCCCCCCACCCCCCCCCCCCCCCCCCCCCCCCCCCCCCCCCCCCACCCCCCCCCCCCCCCCCCCCCACCCCCCCCCCCCCCCCCCCCCCCCCACCCCCCCCCCCCCCCCCCCCCCCCCCCCCCCCCCCCCCCCCCCCCCCCCCCCCCCCCCCCCCCCCCCCCCCCCCCCCCCCCCCCCCCCCCCCCCCCCCCCCCCCCCCCCCCCCCCCCCCCCCCCCCCCCCCCCCCCCCCCCCCCCCCCCCCCCCCCCCCCCCCCCCCCCCCCACCCCCCCCCCCCCCCCCCCCCCCCCCCCCCCCCCCCCCCCCCCCCCCCCCCCCCCCCCCCCCCCCCCCCCCCCCCCCCCCCCCCCCCCCCCACCCCCCCCCCCCCCCCCCCCCCCCCCCCCCCCCCCCCCCCCCCCCCCCACCCCCCCCCCCCCCCCCCCCCCCCCACCCCCCCCCCCCCCCCCCCCCCCCCCCCCCCCCCCCCCCCCCCCCCCCCCCCCCCCCCCCACCCCCCCCCCCCCCCCCCCCCCCCCCCCCCCCCCACCCCCCCCCCCCCCCCCCCCCCCCCCCCCCCCCCCCCCCCCCCCCACCCCCCCCCCCCCCCCCCCCCCCCCCCCCCCCCCCCCCCCCCCCCCCCACCCCCCCCCCCCCCCCCCCCCCCCCCCCCCCCCCCCCCCCCCCCCCCCCCCCCCCACCCCCCCCCCCCCCCCCCCCCCCCCCCCCCCCCCCCCCCCCCCCCCCCCCCCCCCCCCCCCCCCCCCCCCCCCACCCCCCCCCCCCCCCCCCCCCCCCCCCCCCCCCCCCCCCCCCCCCCCCCCCCCCCCCCCCCCACCCCCCCCCCCCCCCCCCCCCCCCCCCCCCCCCCCCCCCCCCCCCCCCCCCCCCCCCCCCCCCCCCCCCCCCCCCCCCCCCCCCCACCCCCCCCCCCCCCCCCCCCCCCCCCCCCCCCCCCCCCACCCCCCCCCCCCCCCCCCCACCCCCCCCCCCCCCCCCCCCCCCCCCCCCCCCCCCCCCCCCCCCCCACCCCCCCCCCCCCCCCCCCCCCCCCCCCCCCCCCCCCCCCCCCCCCCCCCCCCCCCCCCACCCCCCCCCCCCCCCCCCCCCCCCCCCCCCCCCCCCCCACCCCCCCCCCCCCCCCCCCCCCCCCCCACCCCCCCCCCCCCCCCCCCCCCCCCCCCCCCCCCCCCCCCCCCCCCCCCCCCCCCCCCCCCCCCCCCCCCCCCCCCCCCCCCCCCCCCCCCCCCCCCCCCCCCCCCCCCCCCCCCACCCCCCCCCCCCCCCCCCCCCCCCCCCCCCCCCCCCCCCCCCCCCCCCCCCCCCCCCCCCCCCCCCCCACCCCCCCCCCCCCCCCCCCCCCCCCCCCCCCCCCCCCCACCCCCCCCCCCCCCCCCCCCCCCCACCCCCCCCCCCCCCCCCCCCCCCCCCCCCCACCCCCCCCCCCCCCCCCCCCCCCCACCCCCCCCCCCCCCCCCCCCCCCCCCCCCCCCCCCCCCCCCCCCCCCCCCCCCCCCCCCCCCCCCCCCCCCCCCCCCCCCCCCCCCACCCCCCCCCCCCCCCCCCCCCCCCCCCCCCCCCCCCCACCCCCCCCCCCCCCCCCCCCCCCCCCCCCCCCCCCCCCCCCCCCCCCCCCCCCCCCCCCCCCCCCCCCCCCCCCCCCCCCCCCCCCCCCCCCCCCCCCCCCCCCCCCCCCCCCCCCCCCCCCCCCCCCCCCCCCCCCCCCCCCCCCCCCCCCCCCCCCCCCCCCCCCCCCCCCCCCCCCCCCCCCCCCCCCCCACCCCCCCCCCCCCCCCCCCCCCCCCCCCCCCCCCCCCACCCCCCCCCCCCCCCCCCCCCCCCCCCCCCCCCCCCCCCCCCCACCCCCCCCCCCCCCCCCCCCCCCCCCCCCCCCCCCCCCCCCCCCCCCCCCCCCCCCCCCCCCCACCCCCCCCCCCCCCCCCCCCCCCCCCCCCCCCCCCCCCCCCCCCCCCCCCCACCCCCCCCCCCCCCCCCCCCCCCCCCACCCCCCCCCCCCCCCCCCCCCCCCCCCCCCCCCCCCCCCCCCCCCCCCCCCCCCCCCCCCCCCCCCCCCCCCCCCCCCCCCCCCCCCCCCCCCCCCCCCCCCCCCCCCCCCCCCACCCCCCCCCCCCCCCCCCCCCCCCCCCCCCCCCCCCCCCCCCCCCCCCCCCCCCCCCCCCCCCCCCCCCCCCCCCCCCCCCCCCCCCCCCCCCCCCCCCCCCCCCCCCCCACCCCCCCCCCCCCCCCCCCCCCCCCCCCCCCCCCCACCCCCCCCCCCCCCCCCCCCCCCCCCCCCCCCCCCCCCCCCCCACCCCCCCCCCCCCCCCCCCCCCCCCCCCCCCCCCCCCCCCCCCCCCCCCCCCCCCCCACCCCCCGCCCCCCCCCCCCCCCCCCCCCCCCCCCCCCCCCCCCCCCCCCCCCCCCCCCCCCCCCCCCCCCCCCCCCCACCCCCCCCCCCCCCCCCCCCCCCCCCCCCCCCCCCCCCCCCACCCCCCCCCCCCCCCCCCCCCCCCCCACCCCCCCCCCCCCCCCCCCCCCCCCCCCCCCCCCCCCCCCCCCCCCCCCCCCCCCCCCCCCCCCCACCCCCCCCCCCCCCCCCCCCCCCCCCCCCCCCCCCCCCACCCCCCCCCCCCCCCCCCCCCCCCCCCCCCCCCCCCCCCCCCACCCCCCCCCCCCCCCCCCCCCCCCCCCCCCCCCCCCCCCCCCCCCCCCCCCCCCCCCCCCCCCCCCCCCCCCCCCCCCCCCCCCCCCCCCCCCCACCCCCCCCCCCCCCCCCCCCCCCCCCCCCCCCCCCCCCCCCCCCCCCCCCCCCCCCCCCCCCCCCCCCCCCACCCCCCCCCCCCCCCCCCCCCCCCCCCCCCCCCCCCCCCCCCCCCCCCCCCACCCCCCCCCCCCCCCCCCCCCCCCCACCCCCCCCCCCCCCCCCCCCCCCCCCCCCCCCCCCCCCCCCCCTCCCCCCCCCCCCCCCCCCCCCCCCCCCCCCCCCCCCCCCCCCCCCCCCCCCCACCCCCCCCCCCCCCCCCCCCCCCCCCCCCCCCCCCCCCCACCCCCCCCCCCCCCCCCCCCCCCCCCCCCCCCCCCCCCCCCCCCCCCCCCCCCCCCCACCCCCCCCCCCCCCCCCCCCCCCCCCCCCCCCCCCCCCCCCCCCCCCCCCCCCCCCCCCCCCCCCCCCCCCCCCCCCCCCCCCCCCCCCCCCCCCCCCCCCCCCCCCCCCCCCCCCCCCCCCCCCACCCCCCCCCCCCCCCCCCCCCCCCCCCCCCCCCCCCCCCCCCCCCCCCCCCCCCCCCCCCCCCCCCCCCCCCCCCCCCACCCCCCCCCCCACCCCCCCCCCCCCCCCCCCCCCCCCCCCCCCCCCCCCCCCCCCCACCCCCCCCCCCCCCCCCCCCCCCCCCCACCCCCCCCCCCCCCCCCCCCACCCCCCCCCCCCCCCCCCCCCCCCCCACCCCCCCCCCCCCCCCCCCCCCCACCCCCCCCCCCCCCCCCCCCCCCCCCCCCCCCCCCCCCCCCCCCCCCCCCCCCCCCCCCCCCCCACCCCCCCCCCCCCCCCCCCCCCCCCCACCCCCCCCCCCCCCCCCCCCCCCCCCCCCCCCCCCCACCCCCCCCCCCCCCCCCCCCCCCCACCCCCCCCCCCCCCCCCCCCCCCCCCCCCCCCCCCCCCCCCCCCCCCCCCCCCCC